ATGGGAATTCATACTTCATTGTGGGGATTATGGTTAATTGATGTGCTAACCACCTCTTTTGGGGCTAAAGCTACTTTAGGTGGGGACAGAAAGAGTATGAGAGGAATATAGTAATAAATGTAAAAGAGGTATTTTGGAGAATGTTGGAGGTGTTTAGAGTTGAGTATATTTTGATAGACCTGTGAGTGTTTTTGGCATAATCTCAAAAATCTGTCTTCAAGATAGTGTTAAAGTTATTATTAAAACTCACTGAAGGAATTCATCTTGATATTTAAACCTTTATCCATTCTGTATTTTTGGGAATCTGAGACATTTCAGTGTTATATATGTCAGTACTGCAGCATTCAGCCAGAAGCCTATTTTACTAGATAGAAAAATCTGTACATTTGTGAAGTCATCTTGGGGAAATTTTCATGTTTTATATTAATGTTTTAGGTATGTTTTTTCCTGGTTTATTTAATAACATTCTTTACATAAGAGCAGGATATAGTTTTATGTAGTAAAACTTTAGATTAGTGGTTTTTATATAAAATAGAAGGAAGAAAAACAAATTTCTTAAGTTAAAATATCTACTTTTCAACGGGAATCTTTTTTCATATTTCAATTAGGAATTTATTTCTAATTTTAGTGTTTACTTCACATTTGATGAAAGACCTCACTCTTTTAGTCTGTCTTTAAAAAGGCTATATACATTGTGGGTCTTTAGGAGACTGACCAATTCAGCAATGTTTCCCTTTTTCTTTTGCCTTTCCTCTGAAAAGACTATTTCATAGTCTCAAGTGAAATTTATGCAGCAAACTGAGAGGGAGTGAGTTTGAATAATATGGTAATATTTTACTGCTTTAAGTAACTTAAAAAATTAATAACTTAAATAATTGTAAAATGCCATACAGAATCAGAATTGATTAATAAATTTTCTTGCCAGTGTTAGATTTAACATTCAAATTGACCATAATTTTATTTCAATTTTCCAGATTTTTCTGACAAGAGTTACATAACCTTTTAAAACAAAATATGTTATTAATTTAAAGAACAGTAAATGCAACGCACAATATTTCTGAGTCTATATATTTCTTTTTACTTAAATAAAAAAAGTAGTTTATTGTGCAAAGTTGGCCTTTTGTGGGAATATAAATATGGTAAAATGGATTCTCCTGGGATCATTAAGGAAGGAAGACCAATACAGAAAGAATGGTTGTGATTTCAAGAGCACATTTTTATGTTAAATGTAGTTGAGAGAGAATGAAAGCAGCATTGAAAAATGCTTTCAAATAATTACTGTTGAAATCAAACCTTTCTTTTTTTTATTAGATCTTTGAAATAAGAGAATGGTGAGACAAATGAAAACTTCAAATGAAAATTTTAATGTGTCAAATTAGTTTTTAAGTATTCTACATTTCTCCTATTATTATATTAGAGTAGATCTATCAAAACACTACTTTGAAACCAAAACAGTTCTGAGCCATAATCTAATAAAATCTGTTGTATTTTTGTTACCATGTCATTTTGTGGTGTTTCAAAGGAAAGAGTATCTTTAGTCTAATCTGTAATAGTAAATTATTTTAGAAATTTGGCTTGACATACAAACAGATGTGTTTTCTTGATTCCTTTTAAACTGAGGGTTGGTGGTTTGTGGTTTATTGTTGCTGTGATTGGCATTAAAAGCCTTATTTCACAGCTTGCAGTGAGGGACTGTTGGCTAAAGAGTGGCTGTGTTCCACAAACTAAATTCAAAAAGTGTCAATCAAGGTCTCACATAGGTTGCTTAGAGAATGAGTTTTCTTACTGATTTCACCAAATGTCGCCTCATGCTGTCTTTGATTGGCACAGCCTGGCAGGGAGGATGGATGAATCTGTCACCGACTGGTTAATTGTGTTGCTGGTCTCAGTCTGACATCAGGTCTTTGACTCTTAAGTGGCTCAATACAAAACAAATTAGCAGATTGTAGTCATATTTCTCATTCTATATGCTTTGACTTTGTTGAATGCAGTCCATAAATCATATTGACTGACACACAAGTAAATGATGAAAGCTGCTTTTGAGACATGGATCTAGAAAGCAGCACTGTGAAGGTGCCATGGAAGGATGCATATGGTTGACCCTTTGGGAATTTCCTAGGAGCCAAATGTCTCCTTACCACAATTGTTCCTAGAAGAAAAGCTTTTGGGTAATGCAAAAAGGATCTAATATGTCAGCAAATTCTCTTTTACAAGTTCCTTTGAAATCTAAGAAGTTTGTCTAAGGGTTTTCTCTCTTTGCAAGTTGTTTTTCAGCAAAATGTTAGAGGAGGGTAAAAAAGTAGTTACCTTTAAAAGTTTGGCAGGTGTTTTTACTTATTTATTGAACTTTGTGTTAAAGAGAAAGAAAATGTTAATAGTAGTTGCAATTAGTTGCAATTTTTCAGATGAGTGCTGCAGAAAATTCTACGTGTTTGAAATTTATTATTTCGGTTTTGTTTGTTAAAAAAACAGCATTTCTAATGAAAAAGGCTAGTTTCTAAAGATAATTGCAAATGTACTTAGATTATTTGTGTCCTAGAAAATGATAATTTTATTAAGAGTGTCCACAGTATTAGCAATAATAATGTTCAGAAAGGGGTCTTTGGTTATATCAAAGTGTACCAAGGGCTATAGGCATCAAAAATGAATTGCCAGAGGTATTTTTGGGGTGTGCAAATATTTGGAACATTAAACATTTTCTCTCTAAATACAAGTAATAGATGGATTTAAGGATATTTATGCACATTTTATAGTTAGGAAGTAAACATGTTAAAAATGTATTATCTTATAGAATATAACTTTTTAAATGTTTGAAGAATCCAAACCTTTGATATTAACTTTAATTTTGGGCTATAAGAAAGAATTTATTTCATTTGAAGATTTATGAAATATTTTACAATTTTAATCTTATATTTTTGAGAACAATAAGCCTGTCTTTAATATGCATAATCAGAAGATTTGGTATTAGGGTTTTATTATTACATATGTTGTTTAAACAAAAAGCTAAATTCACACGCGCATGCATGTGTGTGTGTGTGTGTTTTCATTACCTATTTCCACCAAGTTTATGGAATAGCCTGTATTTCTGTACTCTTACCATCATTTTTGGCTCCAGTACTACTGTTACTTAGTCATTTGTAGCATTTGAACCCATGTTGAATTTTAAAGGTCACCTTAAAATTATACCACTTACATTGTGCAGTGTGTTTACTTATAAAATGAATATAATAGTAATTTTAGGGGGCAATTTATTAATCTGTTTTGCAGTTGGTATATCATAGGGGCAACATAAGTAGGACATGGAGCTGATTGGATGGAGAAGTACATGAAGCTAAAATGCAGTAGTTGTTCCATTAGGTCAAAATTATATTTCCATTAAGTATTCTCAAGCCTGTAACATTGTAACTAAATTACATGCCATTGATTTCTCCTTTTTCTATGTTTTTGTCCCCCTCCCATTCATATTGATATTATGGTGCTTGGGGAATGGAGCTGCATGTCTCCCAGACTAATTCCTCTTGGGTTTGAGGGATCTTGAAGCATGCTGGGTTTTGCATTGTTTGTTACATTCTTTTTTGGCAGTTCATCAGTATCTGTCAAATACATTGTTTGCATTGGCTTTTATCTCTGAAGTTTTTGATTAAGAAATTGAGATTCCATTTCAGATACAGTTTTTCACTGCATAGTATCTAAATGCTAAAGACTTATTCATAAAAGCTGCTTTGTTTCTAGTCTGATTTTAAATGTGTAGTTTAATGAACAAATGTTGTTCTAATAGACATCTTAAAAACATATTTATGTTTTTTTCTAAAAGATCAACTCTAAACATTTCTGTACCAATTTAGTAAAACATTTATGTTTAGATTTTTTCCATGATTTTGTAGCTTTATTGGCCTTTGTAAGTAGTAAAAAACATAATTATCAAATAACACTGAGTAAATATTTATTAATGCAAATGAGGCAAAACATGACACATTTTCCAAAAGTCATTATTTCTGATCATTTTCATAAGTCTTTGAATCCTATCACAGGAGTCAATCCATCACCAAATCACATGTTTGTGGTTGAAGAGAGCAATACTAGGAGCAGTATTACACTGGAAAACTATACATGAAAGAGTCTTTATAATATTTTAAACTTTTAATTGGGATACAAAATCTGTTTAAAGAAACAGTTTATACTAAAAGTGACGTTAATCTAGAGGCTAAACATGAAAACTTAAAATTTTTATCATTTTTAAGAAAATATAGCCTTAAGGTATGAGTGAAAATTTATATAGTTTTTAGGAGCTTATTATAGTAGAAAATATTTTATAATAATATATGTAGTGAAAGAAAACCACAAATATTTGTAATTTATTTAACCACGTATTTCTAAATTATCAGGTGATTTAAAAACTAAATGTAGATCTGTAGATGATTTTGAAATCATATTGGTAGGCAAGTCCCCCCAGCTAATTGAAGCTCTGCTACAAACTGATGTTGATTAGAGGAACTTATGACTCAAAAGTATGTTTTTATTTTAGGTACAGTTTAAATAAAAATATAGTGTTTATTAACTTCCTTTATTCTGGCTTGGTTAATTACATAAAGCAGAGCTTAAAGAACATTACATGAATAAAATGTTCTGTCCGTATAATTATTTTATTTCATAAATGCCATGTTTTAATGTGCATTTTTAAAATACTTGAGACATTTCAAGACATATAACATAATAAATCATGGGTTTTTTACTTGTCTTTTAATTTTCCTGGGTGCAGCTAGAACTTTAATGATATTTATGTTCTGAGAAGGACAAGTAAACAAGAATATTAATTTTAATTCTTAGGCTAAAAGGCATAACTGCTTAGAATACAGAAATAGGCCAGTAGTCACTGTTGTACCCCCAAAAAGGCAACAAAAAGAATGTCAGGTGTATAATTTTTCTGATACTTCGTGCTGTATTTCTGTGTTTACTTATTTGTTTATTTATATTTTGGTTTTAATATTTGTTTTAAACAGGGGAAGGTTGCCCAGACTGCTTGCATGTCAGCCTGCCAGCATCTGTCAACATCCTTAATGCAGATGCTGTTGGACAGTGAGTTAAAACAGATAAGCATGGGAGCCGTCCAGCAATTTAACTTAGATGTCATACAGTGTGAATGTAAGTACCTTATTGGTTAAATCTCATATATTTCTAGGAATTTATATTAAAATTGTATGGAAAAAATGGTATATAAAAGGATGGTTCAGGAAAAGAAGGAAAAGGCCTGAATCTGAAATTTTCAGCAGCCTTTGAAGCAACTTCTTTCCAGGAAGATAAAAATATCTCAGCTTCAATTTAGGGGCCCTAGAGCTCTAGAAGCACCGAAGTGGCAATACAGACTGGGATAATTGAAAAGATGATTCATTTTTCTCCTTATTCCTTTTTCTGGTCATTCTTGCCAGGACACTCCTAACATTGGGCATCAATGAATGAAATCATTCTAAGTTTGTCGTTCTTACTTTCTGGATAGGTAGCATTTTAGATATTTGCTGCAGGGATAATCTTAGGGCCCTGCATTCCAAATGAAGCTTCTTTTATATTCTGAATTTTTGATTCTCATTCCCCCTAAATTTCTTAAGCCTTTACCTTTGCCATTGTTTTTCACTGTTTTCTTTAGGTAAGAAGTGAGCAGATTCTGTAATCTCATGTTGACATTAGCCAGTCTGCTTCCAAACTGGATATGCTATTTGGTTATTAGCTTTGTAATATATACTTCTGGATGTGGGTTTTATCACCCTTAAATTATAACTCTTTAAATAAAGAATGTAAGTATACAGAGCAATTTTTAAACATTGCCTTCAAATGAATGGTATACTGATTAAATGATGAAAATGCCTGTTTGACAACTGAGTCAGGCACCACTGTTAATAAATTGAAAATCAGTGGGGCACAAGAAGGATTATAAAATGTCTGTCTGAGGCAAATTTTGCAATAATATATTCTGCATGAAAGACATTGAAAATGTCAGCAGCTTGCAACTGAAGCAACAGTGACTGATTTTTTTCAACAAATATCAAATATTTGTCTGCCCACTGTGTATAAGGCATTCTGAGAGGAAAAACAGAATTAATATTAAAGAAAATAATTATCGGGATGCCTGGGTGGCTCAGTTGGTTAAGCAGCTGCCTTTGGCTCAGGTCATGATCCCAGGGTCCTGGGATCGAGTCCCACATCGGGCTCCTTGCTCAGCAGGGAGCCTACTTCTCCCTCTGCCTGCTGCTCCCCCTGCTTGTGCTCTCTCTCTCTCTGACAAATAAATAAACAAAACCTTTAAAAAAAAAATAAAGAAAATAATTATGTAAGCTGTTTGATCAAGATCAGTTGTTTACTGCACAAAAAAAATAAGGTTTTTTAAAACTTACCTATTTCCTTCAAAAAAGAGAAATGCTTATTTACAAAGGAAAAGAAAGTTTTTCCTTAAGGAAGAAAAGGATTTATTTTCTTTTCCTAGGAAGTATTTCTATTTTTTCTACTTAGAAAACCTTTATTGGCTAGTTTGGTAAGGAAAAAAAAAAGAAAAGAAAACCTTTATTATGTATCTTTCTCAAAATACAACTATCATTTAAAATGGTATTTATTTTGTATTTTTAAAATATTTATCAAAAAATACTTTTTTTTTTTTACAAGTTTCTAAGCTCAAAATAATTGTTATTCCATTTTACAAATAATTTGAAACTGATTTTTTTGAAAGTTCTGTAAAGGTTGTCTTATTAAGATCATTCCAGTATGACATTACATATGTAAACATCTTACATAAATATTGCTTGAAGTATTTTGTATTATTACATCTTTAATGTGTATTCAAAATAATTAGGTGGTTGAACCCTTTATTGGCATTTGGGTGTGTCTTCTCATGTTTTTTGTTCAAAAATGGAAATTACTGTTTGGCTAGGCAACTTTAGGTATCTAGATCTTCTCGCTGTTTTCTTCCACCTCCATGAAAGGCTAGTCTAACTGTACTTACAGAAAGATACATAAACCCCAAAATCTTTGCCTCTCTTTTTTTTTTTTTAAAGATAGATTTATTTATTTATTTATTTATTTATTTGACAGAGACACAGCGAGAGAGGGAACACAGCCAGGGGCAGAGGGAGAGGCAGTAGCAGACTCCCTGCCAAGCAGGGAGCCTGATGCGGGGCTCGATTCCAGGAACCTGGGATCATGACCTGAGCCGAAGGCAGACGCTTAATGACTGAGCCACCCAGGCACCCCTGCCTCTCTGTCTTTCCATAGGATAGTTTCTACCTTTAGTTGACTTCTTTAGGTGGAGTTCCTGAAGGCTCCTTTTAAAATGCTGATTTTTTTTTAAGCACTATTCTCTTGGAAGAGACCAAGAAAGGTCCTAAGTATGAGCCAAAACTCAGAAAATCTAAGTTTAAGTACAAGAAGGGTAAACCCCAGTCTGATGGGGGCCAAGGTTCAGGCACTATAGATATGGAAAGGGGGAGAGACCAGGATTCAAAGACAAACCACACAAGATAATTCAGCTTCCTTTAAGATTATGCCTGTGGTTGGCTCTGCTCCTTAATACTTATCATGTATTACTTAATCATTACTTAATATAGCATCATACATATAGTACTTATTGAACAAATGTAAACCAACATTACATTTTCCATGCTTATCCCACTCTCTTTCTGGTGCAAAAGAACTTTCTACCCCCAATCATGAATTTGCTGATACATAAATCACTTAAAAATGAAACTTAGCTTTTTCTCTAATGAATATGTTAAGAGAATTAGGTTTTCATCTTACTTTAAGTAGTATTTTTGTTTTTTTAAATCTGGAAGAAAGATTTTTTTCTTTTTTAATTTAAGATTTTATTTTTAAGTAATCTCTACACCCAATGTGGGGCTCTAACCCACAATCTGGAGATCAAGAGTTACATGCTCTACCAACTGAGCCAGCCAGGTGCCCCCAAAAGCAGTTTGTTTTAAAAAATATGAAGTTTAAATTCAGTATTAATGCAGGATGTATGCTTTCTACATATTGGGGCAGGGAAAGGAGAAGAGGAATTTGGCTAGGTAGGAGGAAGGCTAAAATGTATCATAAATTTGTGAAGAGAAGGGATCTCTATACCATAGGAATCAACTGGGATATGGAGAAGATAGGTAAGTAATTCAGATGTGGAATCCTAAAAGCTAAAAGATCATCAAATTTCACCACTTACCTGGTAATAAATATACACATACTCCTCTACCTTGAAATCCTTTCTAAATAACCCTGCCAAATAGTTGTCCAGCTAGTCCTTGAACATCCAATTTGGGGGATTAACTACTCTTCAGAAACTGTGTTTCTGTGTAATGTATCACTCTATTAGTTTCTTCCAGTGAGGTGAAATCACTTTCTCTAAACTTCTCTTAATGGAGCTAGTTCTACCTTGGCTACAGTCAACACTGCCTTTGTGCAAATTAGAAATGGTATCCCTGTTAAAGGAAAAAGTCCTCCAGAGTTGTCTGTTTTACATGAATTAGAAAAAGTTTACCTTCTTTCTAGCTGGACTCAACCCCCTCCAAGGCACGTGGCTTTATCAAGTGAAATGTTGTCTAGATGTCAGCCCTTCCCTTGCTCCCCTCTCTTCTCCTCAGCTGGACACCCAGATGTAGTAAGCAGTCTGATGCAGTCTGTATATGGCAGTTCTGCTTAGGGTCGTACAGAGAAAAAACAAATCCTCATCCACAAACCAATTATATGAAAACTGCTCTTATATCCTTCCAAATCTTCTGAAGGCCAAACATCAACAATGCCTCTTACTGTTCTCATGTGATATGATTTTAGATCCAAAGCTCTTTGAATAAACTGGTTTGACTACCTTCTGTTTAATGTCTGATACCCAAAGTTGACTACAGAGATACCGAGGTATGGGGGGATCCAGTATAATCTGCAGTTGGACTATCAAATGTATTATTCCATAGTCTGTACTTCATTACTAAAGCCCAAACTATTATTATCTTTTTTGGTTGTCAGAGTATACTCTTGAATCATTGAAGCTATAATCTTCTAAAACTTGTGTATCTCTCTCTCTCTCTGGTGTGTGTGTGTGTGTGTGTGTGTGTGTGTGATTGTGATTGTTAAGCTCTGTTTTTCTTATCCTATACTTGTGTGGTTGGTTTTGTTGTGGGATTTTAAAGTTAGCCATATTAAATTTTAAGATTTGTTTCACAACTAACCTATTGAGGTCTCTTTATATCAAAATTTAATATCATCTGCAGATTTGTAATCATGCTTTTTATATATTTAACAAAGTTACTAACAAAATGTTGAACAAAACCTTTTATTTATATCATGAGATACAGTACATCAATGGTTCTCAAAACCTGATCCCCAGATGAGGACCTGGGAACTTGTTAGAAATGCAAATTATTGGGTTCCACCTGCTGAATTGGGACCTCTGGGCACCAGACCCTCTAGGTGATATTGATCCACAGTAAAGTTTGAGTACCACATTATATGGATCTTTCCTTTGTATTGACTTAGATCCATTATTCAGAATTTTATGAGTATCTTAAATACCCATATGGTTTTGCTCAAAGTGATAAGCAAGTTTTTCAGATGCCTTGCTGGCATATAGGGATAATAATAACCATTGGATTTTTCTTATCAATCAGTCTATCCTTTAAAAGAAGAAAATGATGCTACTCTGATTCTTCATAAACCCATATTGGCTCATAATTACTTTCTCGTCAAGAGACTCAGAAATCATTACTTAAAAGACCGTGACTGATTTTTGAGACTAACATAAAATCTTACTAGTCTGTGTTGTACTAGTAAGAGATCCAGAGTCCAAAGAAGTCAGGTAGCAGGGATCAGGAATTAGAGACCATGGGCAAGTTAAGAAAGGCTTAAGTCAAAGAATTTAAGCAATAGGAGGTGAGCATGAAATATAAGCATCAGGAATGGCCTTTGTATGGGGCACCTGGGTGGCTCAGTCAGTTAAGCTTCTGCTTTTGGCTCAGGTCATGATCTCCGGGTCCTGGGATCAGGCCCCGACTGGGGCTCCCTGCTCATCCGGAAGCCTGCTTCTCTCTCTCTCTCAGCCCCTCCCCCAACTTGTGCTCCCCCTCCCCTCTCTGTCTCTCTCTCTCAAATAAATAAAATCTTAAAAAAAAAAAAAAGAA